TTAGTAACTTAAGCTAGATAATGCCAGCACGACAAGCGTGCAGCCAAGTTTATGCCATGAAAGTGCCAAAGCTGAGCTTATTTTTCGCCTTACTGCGCTGATGTGACATTGTGAATAGTCTCTGGGTAAAGCTAACACTTAAATGATGCTCTAACACCATGGCAGACCAAGCCTGTCTAAGTAGTGAGCTTGCTGCTCAACGCCTGTGTCTAGTTAACCTCCAAAGTATTATCTTTGTTTAACTTTAGGAATGTGAAATGAAGCCGGTTTATATTTTTTATGTTTATATTGCCTACATCATTAACAAAACGTGCCGCTACTTTAAGGCCATACAGCTATAACTGGATATAGACACCTACCTGCCATTAGCATGGAACCCAGGTTGGCGTATAGCACGACATATCCCAATCCTGCAGCACTTAGTATTTTTGCATGTACCTATAAAAGTTGTAAACTCACCCTTAAACTTGGCTTGTACTCACACACTAGCTCTTGACACAGCATAATAATTTTTATGACTAGATAGTAAAGCGCTGTTACATAGTGTTCTGAAAATGCCTCAGCAACCTAAACGACGTAAACCTGTATTGTTTATCACCTAACCTATCCTTACAAAAAATGTGTTAGATATACCATGTACCTCTTTGTTTAAATGTGTACAATACGCTGGAGGATTGCCTTCGGGGTACCTCATATGCACCTGTTCAAAGCCTATACACTACAAAAATAAAGAATTTAAAAAAAATAAAAAAATAAAAAAAAATATATATATATATATATATATATTTTTTTTTTGGGCTGTAAATTTCTACCTTTAATGTTATTGTTCACATGTCACAAATACAAAGTTGTTAAACGTCGAGATAAGTAAACATTATGAATAACAATTCCGTGAAGAGACTGTTTCACTTTCATTGGTTTTTTTTTTCAAAGATAAAAGATGTTCGATTAATGTTAGTGAAACATCATCATATAACACAACATTATATACAAAGAATTTGTATTAAAAATATTAGTGTTTTTTCCTTGAAGTGATAAACATACGTCATTTAATTTTGTGAATATGTCTGCAAGATATACGACTTTAGATAACCACAAAATATTTGTTAATCGATCAGATAATCCAAATTTATGATCCTGGAAATATGCTAACAACTCCTGACGCAATTCAAACATTCTAACAAGGACTTTACCTTGTGATAGCCAACGGACTTCTGAATGCAAAAGCAGAGCAGAGTGGTGACTATCAATATCTTCACATATTATTTTAAATAGTCGTGACTGTAATGGTCAACTTTTTATAAAATTAATCATCTGGACCGATTTGTCTAGCACAGTTTTAAGTGAGATTAAAATATTTTTAGATACCAGTGTGTGTGTGAAGAGCACAGTGAGAACTGGTGCTGTTTTTTGCTACATTTCTTATTTGTGTCACAGCGCCTGCCACTTTCCCAACCATTGCTCTGGCACCATTACTGCACACATCTACACATTTGTCCCATTTTATACTGTGTGTGTTCATGAACTTCTGGATACAGTTAAAGATATTCTCACCAGTGGTATGAGTTTTCAAAGTTTCACATAGAAGCAATTCTTCTTCAATGTTTGTCAAAATGATATCTGGCAAAAACCAACAAAACTGAAAGTCCTGCAACATCTGTGGACTCGTCTAATTAAAGTGAGTACACATCACATTGATGCAGTCAAGGAAGTTAGTTCAGTATTGATGTCATCAGCAAGATCATGAATATGGCACAAAACTGTTGTTGGGAAGTGGCACAGCTTCAGTTTTTTAAACTCAAATTCTCACTTAAAATACATGACACTATTTCTTTTGCACGTTGTTTTATTAGTGATTTCCCAATTGTGTGTGCTTCTCCTGCAAGTGCTATGCGGTAACTCACTCTGTAAGAAGCCTCTGTGGCTTTTTCATTATCATTTTTACATTTTTTGCTCATAAACTGTTTACTCTTCTGATACTCCTTTAGCTTTCGCTTAAAAAAAGTCAATGTCTTTATCGTTGTACTCTGCATGGTTTTGCTCAAAATGACGACGTAATTTAGCAGGTGCTAACGAACTGTTTGGCGATATTTTATTGCAAAGTAAGCATTGTGCTTCAGGACAATCTTCATTTCTGGCACTTGTGAATCCAAAAGACTTGTAGCTATCATCATATTTTATTTTCTTTGTTTGAGAAGAAGATTGGCTAGCATTGTGGGCTTTTCTTTTTTTCTTTGACTTGTCACTTGTCTCTGATATTTGAGAAACAGTAGATTCAACTATTTCGGGCATGTTTTCTGGATTTTTAGTTGTATCTTTTTTCTCAGTTTCTATAAGTGCCGAACAGATAGAAGTAGTAATAAT